TTGGTACCAGTACCATGCTGTTTTGATTACTGTAGCCTTGTAGTATAGTTTGAAGTCAGGTAGCGTGATGCCTCCAGCTTTGCTCTTTTTGCTTAGGATTGTGTTGGCTATGTGGGCTCTCTTTTGGTTTTATATGAAGTTGAAAGTGGTTTTTTCCAGTTCTGTAAAGAGAGTCATAGGTAGCTTGATGGGGATAGTGTTGAATCTCTAAATTACTTTGGGCAGTATGGACATTTTCACAATATTAATTCTCCCTAACCATGAGCATGGAATGTTTCTCCATCTGTTTGTGTCCTCTCTTATTTCGTTGAGCAGTGATTTGTAGTTCTCCTTAAAGAGGTCCTTTACATTCTTTGTTAGTTGTATTCCTAGGTATTTTATTCTCTTTGTAGCAATTGTGAATGGCAGTTCATTCTTGATTTGGCTCTCTTTAAGTCTGTTATTGGTGCATAGGAACGCTTGTAATTTCTGCACATTGATTTTGTATCCTGAGATTTTGCTGAAGTTGCTTATCAGTTTCAGGAGATTTGGGGCTGAGACAATGGGATCTTCTAAATATACAATCATGTCGTCTGCAAATAGAGACAATTTGACTTCCTCCTTTCCCAACCGAATAACCTTTATTTATTTTCTTGCCTGATTGCTCTGGCTAGAACCTCCAATACTATACTGAATCAGAGTGGTGAGAGAGGGCATCCTTGTCTAGACAGTGCCAGAAATTCAGTATGATATTTGCTGTGAGTTTGTTGTAAATAGCTTTTATCATTTTGTGATATGTTCTATCGATACCTAGTTTATTGAGAGTTTTAGCATAAAGTGCTGTTGAATGTGTTCCAGATCTGAGTTCAAGTCCTGGATATCCTTGTTAATTTTCTGTCTCGTTGATCTGTCTAATATTGACAGTGGAGTGTTAAAGTCTCCCACTATTATTGTGTGGGAGTCTAAGTCTCTTTGTAGGTCATTAAGAACTTCCTTTATGTATCTGGGTGCTCCTGTATTGGGTGTATATATATAGGATAGTTGTCTTCTCTTGTTATATTGATCCTTTTACCATTATGTAATGCCCTTCTTTGTCTCTCTTGATCTTTGTTGGTTTAAAGTCCATTTTATCAGAGACTAGTAACAGTCCCCTGTTTTTTTTTTTGTTTGTTTGTTTTTTGCTCTCCATTTGCTTGGTATATCTTCTTCCATCCCTTTATTTTGAGTCCATGTGTGTCTTTGCACATGAGATAGGTCTCCTGAATACAGCACACTGATGAGTCTTGACTTTTTATCCAGTTTGCCAGTCTGTGTCTTTTGATTGGGGCATTTAGGCCATTTACATTTAAGGTTAATATTATTATGATGTGTGAATTTGATCCTGCCATTTTGTTACTGGTTGGTTGTTTTGTCCATTGGTTGACACAGTTTCTTCATTGCATCATTGGTCTTTACCATTTAGTTCATTTTTGCAGTGGCTGGTACTGGTTGTTCCTTTCCATGTTTAGTGCTTCCTTCAGAAGCTCTTGTAAGGCAGGCCTTACAAGAGGTGACGATATCTCTCATTAATTGCTTGTCAGTAAAGGATTTTATTTCTCCTTCATTTATGAAGCTTAGTTTGTCTAAATATGAAATTCTTTTTTTTAAGGATGTTGAATATTGGCTTCCACTGTCTTTTGGCTTGTAGGGTTTCTGCCAAGAGATCTGCTGTGCGTTTGATCGGCTTCCCTTTGTGGGTGACCCAACCTTTCTCTCTGGCTTCCCTTAGCATTTTTTCCTTCATTTCAACCCTTGTGAATCTGACAATTAGTGCCTTGGAGTTGCTCTTCTTGAGTATCTTTGTGGTGTTCTCTGTATTTCCTGGATTTGAATGTTGGCCTGCCTTGCTAGGTTGGGGAAGTTCTCCTGGATAATATCCTGAAGACTGTTTTCCAGCTTGAATTCATTCTCCCCATAACCTTCAGGTACACCAATCAAGCGTAGATTAGGTCTTTTCACACAATCCCACATTTCTTGGAGGCTTTGTACATTTCTTTTCACTCTTTTTCTCTTTTCTTGCCTTCTAATTTTATTTCATTGAGTTGATCTTCAATCTCTGATATCCTTTCTTCTGCTTGATCAGTTCAGCTATTGAAACTTGTGTATGCTTCATGAAGTTCTCTTGCTGTGTTATTCAGCTCCATCAAGTCATTTATATTCTCCTCTAAGCTGTTTAGTTAGCATTTTGTCTAACCTTTTTTCAAAGTTTTTAGTTTCTTTGCATTGGGTTAGAACATGTTCCTTTAGCTCAGAGAAGTTTGTTTTTACCCAACTTCTGAAGCCTGCTCCTGTCAATTCATCAAACTTGTTCTCCATCCTGTTTTGTATCCTTGCTGGTGAGGAGTTGTGATCCCTTGGTGGAGAGACATTCTGGTCTTTGATGGTTTCAACCTTTTTGCATTGGTTTCTTCCCATCTTCATGGGTTTATCTAGCTTTCATCTCAGGGAGCTGCTTGGTGAGGCAGCCTTTCCTTTGTCTGACTGCAGAGGCGTTGCTGGGCTGCCAGGGATTCAGTAGAGCTGCTGAGTATATTTCCTGTGTCTTTTGTTTACTCAGGAAGATTAGACCTGCCTCTGCAATGGCGGCTGCCCTTCCCCCACCAAGCTCAATCTGTGAAACTCTCAAGGAAGAGGGCTTCAGTTCACTGGACTTTGTGGGGGAGGGACCCATCTAGCCATATCACCTGATTCCCTGCTTTCAGTGCTCCTTCTTTCTTGGGGGTGGGTGGCTCCATCCCACAGGCTTTCTTGGTGTTGGCAAATCCATCCACTTAGATTTGTGCTAAAAACCTGTGGCATCAGCCAGGGTTGCTTCTCAGCTCTGTTCAGGTAATTCACATGCACTTTTCAGCCCGGTAAAGATCTCATGTTCTGTGGGTTGCAGAGGGCTTGGGTGAAGCACAGTATCTGAACCAGAATCCCAGAGGGGGAGAGCCCCCTATCTTCCCATCAGATGCACTTACTGGGTGGGGCAGTGCCCTGTACTGGCTCAATTTTCCCTCTTTGGGTTATACCTACTGTCCAACCAGTCCCTTTTAAATGAACCTGGTACCTCGTTTGGGAATGCAGAGATCACTCACTTTTTGCATCTCTCTCACTGGGAACTGCATTCCACAGCTGTTTCTATTCAGCCATCTTAGCGGACTCCCCATGTGTTGTTTTCTCATTTTCACCATGGTGTCTTTTGAAGCACAAATGTTTTTGATTTTGATGATAAATTCATCTACTTTTTCTCTTAAAAGTTAAATTTTTAACTTTGTCATTGATGTAGAGAAATGCAGTAATTTTTGTACATTATGTTTGTTTTTAGCAATCTTGTTAAATTTACCTAGTAATGCTAATCTCTTGATTCCTGTGGATTTTTTCTGTATAGACTCATATAACTTGAAATAGCAACAGTTTTGTTCCTATTTATTTTTCTTTACTTATTTCATTGGCTAGGACATCCAGTATAATGTTTTATAATCTTATTCTTATCTCAAAGGGAAAACCTTAACATTCAGTTTTATGTTTTGCTGTGGGATTTTTGTAGATACGTTTTTAAAAGGTTCAGGAAACTTCATTCTATTTCTAGTTTGCTAAGGGTTTTGTTTTTTAATATCATAAATGGATACTGAATTTTATTGAATGCTTTTTCTGCATATGATGGCAAAATACACAGATGGATTTTCAACTGTTTTAACCTTGTCTACTTGAAGTAACACAACTTGCTCACAATGTGTTATAGATTTCAAAGATTCCATTTCCTAATATTTTACTTATCATATTTGCATCTATATTCATGAGTGAGACTGGATTGTTATTTTCCTTTCTCATAATGCCCCTCTCAGATTTCTGGGTTAGGTAATGCTGATCTCATAAAATAATCTGGGGGATATTCTTTTTCTATTTTATGTAAGAGGTTGTGTAATATTGTCATTTTCCTTAAATGATAGGTAGAACAAATCAATAAATCCTTTTGGGTCTGGAAATTTCTTTGTAAAAAGTTTTTTAAATTATGGGTTTAATTTATTTAACTGCTACAGGATTATTGAGATTTTCTATTTTTTCTTGTGTTGGTGGGTATTTCCCCAGGATTTGTCTCTTTATCTAAGTTTTCAAATATCCTATTTTTATCTTTTAAATCTAATTGTAAACTGTAGTTTCACCCCATTTTTCATTCTTGATACTGGTTATCTGTAATTTTGTTTTTTGAAAGTTCTTACCAGGAAATTGTTTTTTTCTTTTTTAAAGAATCAGTCTTTTCATTTGTTGATCTCATTCCCATATATTTGTTTTTTATTTCCTTAATTTATATTCTTAAATTTCTTATTTACCATTTTCTATTATTTGAATTAATTTTGTGTGATGGAGGCATATTTAGATCATTGATGCTTCCTCTAAGAAGCCTTCTTGAACATTTTAAGTTCTTCCCCAATCAGAAACTGTATTCTAAATGCCTGGTAACTTGCTGTTTTTACCTACTAGACCATAGGTTGTCAATCTACACTCAAGGGCAGTCTCCTGTTTTTGCAAATACAGTTTTATGGGAATAGATTCACATTCATTTGTGTAAGACAGGATTTAATCTAATGGTTTGTCCCATGCTTGACAAAATAGTATGTGCCAAGTTAATATTTATTAATTAATGGACTAAAACAAAAACAAAGTGCTTAATTTGTTAAAAGTACCTTGGACTTTTATGGTGCTTTTATTCTCAAAATCTAGAAACTATTTCCAGTAAATCTATGCCCTAAAGATTAGTTTCCTAATCCACACTGTCAGTGTCTTATCTTTGATAACATTTCTTCATGAAAATTGAGGAAATTATAGCTCAGAAAATGGAAATTTTCTAGAACTCTACTTCAACATTGACAAATGTTTTTAGTTCATAGAGCTCTCTTATGATGATCTATGTAACAGCCATACATATATATCTAGATATCATAGATTAAATCACTTATTGACAGAAAATGAAATTCACAGGTTATATTCTCTTTAAGGTAAACAAAACTAATTGTCGACTACCAGAAGATACTTTCAACATAAATGAACTCTCCAACTTATTAAACTTTTATACAGAGAGACGAAGACAGCTCTCTCGGGATAACCACCTGGTAAGAATGACATTTTTACTTCTGAAAATTTTCATATAAGGGATGACACATTACTGTAAGTAGCTGTGAAGGTACTCCTTCGATAAATCAAGATTTGAAATTTTTTTTGCAATGATAAATTTGCTAAATTTTATGATCATTGAAAAGTTAAACATATTTTAGTTACAAAACAAGTGCACCTTTTGAAATTTTGTTTCTAAGTAATTTGGATTCTTAAAAACAGATTTCTGAGGCCAGGTGCAGTGGCTCACACCTGCAATCCCAGCACTTTGGGAGGCAAAGGTAAGCAGATCACTTGAGCCCAGGAGTTTGAGACCAGCATGGGCAACATGGTAAAATGCTGTCTCTGTTGAAAAAATACAAATATGTATTAGCACATATCTGTAGTCCTAGCTACTCAGGAGGCTGAGGTGGGAGGATTGCTTAAGCTTAATCCTCCCACCTCAGAGAGAAGGAGGTTGTAGTGAGCCAAGTTTATGACCCTGCACTCCAGCCTGGGCGACAGAGCAAAACTCTGTCTCAGAAAAACAAAGAACCACAAAAACCAGATTCCAAAAAAGCAATAAGGTAAAGGAATTAAGATTTTTTAATTGTTTTTAGTTATCAAAACTATTATCTCTGTTTATTTTTTAGGTACCTGCAGAAACCCCCAGTCCTGTTATTTTCGGTGATTTTCCATTTATCTTTAATTTGCTATCCAAAATTAAATTACTGCAAGCTGATTCACATCTAAAGATGTGGGTATGTATGCCCTATTTTTTAGTTGAAAAATTCTAAACATATATAAAATAGAGACAGTGGTGTAATGAATCTCATGACCAAGATTCAGCAATTATCAACATTTTGCCACACTTTTATCACTTTTTTTCTTTTGTTGTTGTTACTGTTTTTGTTGAAGTATTTTACAGCAAATTCCAGTCTCAATTTCTTTTCAGCTGTCCATACTTCAATGCATTATTTCTGATTGTCTTACTCTTGTTCACTCTGAAATTCATGAGTGGTTCAAGTGGCAACCACATAATTCTTTCATTGTTTCCCATCAACCTTTTATTTAATAATTTCATATGTTATTTTCATTAAGGTTTGTGGTATGTCAATATTTCTAATCTTATCATTCCTTCCAAAGTCATTTCCTGGAATTAGGTAAAAAAGAGCTTTTCCTTATCAGTCAGGGCACTTGGTTACCCTAAAATGGTTAAAGAGCATTTACATACGAAGGTAGACTAATTAATTCCTATCCTTTTTAATATCAAATATTGCCAAATTACCCTCTATAGAGTTTGGAAATGCCTCTTCCACATGCTGTTCTCAGCAATGCAGAGTATTACCAAGCTTTGTGATCTTTTCCATTTTGATGAGTTAATCATGATATTTCAGTTTGATTTTAATTTATAGTTATTATTAATGTCCTAGTCCTCACTTTCTTTATGTAATATATATCTATTGTTTTCCTACTGTGAACAATGCTGACACTATCCAGTAAACTGTTCTTTCCTTCTCTCTTTTCTCTCCTCTTCTATCCAATTTTAATTATTACTGTGTTCTTAAGTGCTAATCTTTAGATTAAAAATATCTCCTTAAGCTTCTTGGAGCTTGATTTATAAGTTCCAACTGATAATCTTTTATTCTTAAATAATGCCTATGAGTCAATCATGAGTTAAATAATGCCTATGAGTCAATCAATTAGTTTATTTTGTTTTCCATTTATTTGCACCCTTCTGCTTCTTTTCTGGTAGTTGTATTAGTCCCACATACGACTTACATACTATTGTCTATTTTTTTTTTTTTTACCACCATCAGCCTTAGTTCTCAGTTAAGTACATATAATGCAATCCCCTTATTATGCTAAAATGAATTTTCCAAATTTTTTTTATTGCTGAGGCTTGTTTTCTAGGCCATTCCTCATGAAAAGTTTATATCTATTTATCGATGATATTTATATTTTAAAAACTCATAGGAATCAGAATTTATACCCATTATTGCCTTTATAACTAATTCGAAGGATGCAGGCCATCTGGGTGAAACATAAGAAGTCTGGGATAGAACATGCACAAGAGAAGCCATTTCAGTTATTCATTCCCTTTTTATACTCCACTGTTTATGTGGCTTACGTGACATTTTCCAATGTGCCATGCCACATAAATCCATAAATTCCAGGTGTATTTATAATAAGCAACCTAGACAGACAAGGTATATCCTGCTAGTAGCATTCCATAGGTAAGGATTGTCCCTCTAGTTATTACTACTATTATTATATTTTGAAATAGAATCTCACTGTCACCCAGCCTGTAGCACAGTGGCGTGATCTTGGCTCACTGCAACCTCTACCTCCCAGGTTCAAGTGATTCTCATGCTTCAGCCTCCCAAGTAGCTGGGATTACGAGCACCTGCCACCACGTCCAGCTGATTTTTATATATTTAGTAGAGACAGAGTTTCACCATGTTGGTCAGGCTGGTCTCAAACTCCTGACCTCAGGTGATCCACCTGCCTCAGCCTCCCAAAGGGCTGGGATTACAGGCCTGAGCCACCATGCCTAACCTAGTTACTATTATTAGTGTCTGTTACCAGCATGTTTACAAATAGATTTGACCAGGCCATCTCTTCTTTTGTTTCTGAGCCATATGTTTTTATTTTCCTAACATCCCTGGTAAAGGGAGAAAATAGATTGTCTTTCCTTTCCAAACCTAACTTTCCCATCAGTTTCCCTTAAACAAGACCTTCCCTTTATGGTATTTTCTGCTATTACCATGTTTCTCTGTGGGTCATTTGTCTATTCTGCTAGTGAATAGTTGAGGGTTGAGTGGACAATGAACTTGGACAGATTGCACATTATGAAGGACTAAGAAAGTCTGAGGACAAGAAAACTCTTTCTTTTAGTTGTCTTGAGTGAAGCTGGAAAGCTGACTTTACAATCCTGCTCTCCAAAGGAGAGATAATGGATATAGTCAAAACTGCAAGCTCCAAACTGGGTTACCAATTCAAATGTGTAAATGTGAAAAGGTAAAACCAGTATATAGAGAACTGCAGTAGAGAAGCTGGAAATTAAGCTAAGAGGCAGGTTTCCCGTCCAGCTCTTGGTTATGTAAAAGAAGGTACAGACACCTCTCCCAGCTGTAGTCAGTGGAGGACATTGCTGGCCACATCCTGTCACTCAGACCCATGGAACATGTTGCTCAGTAGTCAGTATTGCTGGATATCCCAGACCTGCAGACTCCTGTAGGGCCATAGGAGGTGATGACCCACCACCAGAAAGGAACGGAGATGGAAGTTGTTCCTTCCCTACAAATCTTGTGCTTTAAAAAAAAAAAAAAAGCCTTAAAGAAAAAACAGAAGAATCTAGAAATCACATATAAATTTCTTAGTATATAATGGTGGCAGAGACCCAGGGCAGGGATTTCCCAACCCCAATGCCACATGAACACTTCTCTGAGGTGCTTGTAGAGAGTGAATATGGGCAAACACATTCACTCTCACATTCCCAGCTTAGGAACCTGGAGTAGGATAGCTATTATCCACTGGTCTTGCTGTCACGATTGCAGGACAGGCCCTATGAGGGCTACATTGGTTTGAGTTCTAAAACCTCATTTATTGTCCTTGTGATATAACTGAAGCCCTTGAGGAGTCTTGAAGGTCCAAGCAAGGATAGCAAGTCCAACACTAGATTTCTAATCCAAAGAAGTTCCACAGAAACAAGATCAGAGATTAAAGTAATGTGAGAATGTTGAGAATTCAGAAAAGCTAAAGAGAAGTACTTAGGGTGATCAGAAAAGTTAAAGAGAAGTACTACTTAGGGTGACCAGGAGCATTATTAGATGCAAAATAAGGCCACTTGTGGCGTATTTTTAGAGTTCCCATGCAGATTCGGTGGATGGATCATAGTTATTGGAAAAAGAAGAGTAGATCTTCTCTGAGGAAATCTCTCTTCTATCTTTTTTCCTACAGTGCCCATTATCCCTAAGCTCTTATACTGCTTTTATATTCCTGAGGATTACAATGCTAATGTTCTGTATCTTAAGACTGTTGGTGGATGAATGCCTCACCATGTTGAATACCAGTATGGCCTTTAAGGATGATGTTTACTATAATAAATGATCTGAGATAGCTTTTAATAACTTAGCTGTTCATCCATGTTGACTAATCTCCGGTACACAATTCCTAGGTAACCATAGTTTCTATGGCTCTGCAATCACTTTATTTTCCATAAGACAGATATGATATCCTTTTTCTTAAATAATTACAATGTGAGTGTTTATAGCAATGACAGGATTAAGTATATACTATACAAAATGTTTATTGGAAATATTAAACATTTAAAAGTATTAAACTATTAAAAGTATTAAACTATTAAAAGAATCCCTGGGATTCTTATGAGGTCAAAATAAAATTTTTATTTTTCCAGATGTCAGAAGATAAAGCATTCATGCATATGCATGAAACAATTCTGAAAAAAAAGGAAGAATTTCCTCCATCACCTAGATTTATACTTAGAGTCAGACGAAGTCACCTAGTTGAAGATGCTCTGCGTCAATTAAGTCAAGCTGAAGCCACTGACTTCTGCAAATTATTAGTGGTACAGTAAAAAGTCTCACTGAACATTTTTACTTCTGTGGGAAGGATGCATTCATATGATGTAATAACGGCTCTCTTAAAAGAGCCTGCATTTGCAGCTATGGTTATCAATCTTTTGGTTTCCAGAATTCCCTTCTTACCCTTCATAGAACAGCAATGGGATACTAACTCAATTGCACATTGGGCTATGAGTTAACTATTAGTTACAATGACCACAAAAATGCTGCATAATAAAAGATCCCAAAACTTAATGGCTCAAAAATAACAATAATTTATTTTATATATATGAAGTTCACTGTGCTGACCTAGGCTGAACTCATCTGGGTGGGTTTGCAAATTTTGTCTGAGCTTGTGTACCTCTGGGAGTTGGCTAGAGATTGGCTGATCTAGGCTTAGCTGGAGCAGTTTAGCTCTGCTTCCTATGTCTTTCATCCTCCTCCAGGGACTAGCAAGCATGCTCTTCCCACAGCAGTGCCAGAGGTGCAAGATAGCAAGACCAAACATTGTTTTAGTCAAAGCAGTCGTAAAGCTGAACCTAAGTCAAGGGCTAGGGAAATATACACAACCTCTTCAATGGGAGGAACTGCAAAGTCATATGCAAAAGACATGGATCACAGAGGGGTGAAGAATTGGGGCAATAATGCAGTCTACAAACTGCTAGAGGAAGGGATACTTTTCCTACATGTTGGCTCTAGTTTCATCACTTAAGACCATCTACTATATGGGTTTCAATTCCAACCATCATTCCTTTCATCCTTTGTGAGTGCTTATAGGGTTTTTATTGTGTGGTATCTCAGATTATTTGCCCTATTGAGGCGATAGAATAATGACTAATTCTGTAGGTAAGGGTTAGAGTCTGTCCAGAAGGGAGTGGATTTTCTTGATATCAGCCATGAGGGGAAGAGCTGGGCTGTTAGAGAAGAAACCAGAACCTGGGAAGTGGGACTCAGATAAAAAAGGGATTTTCCCAGCATGTGACTCCAATGGAAAACAAAAACTACTTTATAAGCCAGACTTTCTAGTTGTATGTCTCCCTTCATCCCTATTTTTCTTTAAATATTAACTGTAAGGAAATCAGTAGAAAAGTATTCTCCTTACAGGAGATAACCAAGGAGAAAAAAAAAAAAAGTAAACTTCAAGCCTGATCAAATAAAAATAGAGACTCTGAACAAGGGGAAGGTTGTCAGGGCCCATCATGAGTAAGTCCTGAGTGTGGCATGGACAGATTTGCTGGTATAAATGAGTAGAAACAAGAAACTCAGAAGCAGGCTTAATTTGTTACTGGGATATTCAGAAGGGAAAGTGGGGCAGGCTCTTGAACATGATGGTCTGTGGCCAATGAGTTGATCGAAGCAGCAGTAGATAAGACTTCCCAGGCAAAGAGAGTAGGGAAAGAACAAAAATCCAAGAAATAAAAATTAGTGGTGTTTATCTTTAAAAGATGAAAGTAAATTATCCAGAAAAGGATGTAGAAAAGAAGTAGTTAGAGACTTGGGGGAAAACCAAGACAGTACATAGCCATAAAGTCCAAAAGTAGAGAAAGCTTTTAAAAACAGAGACTGGGTAATACTGATTTCTCATGTGAGGGCTATGGGCAACTACTCTGGTGGTTCCTGCAAAGGTCTCATGCCCAGGCAGACTGGGAGGGCGTTTTGCAGAAGCCCAAATGAGAGTAGAGGCAGGAGAAACCAAATACTTGTTGACTGGAGCCAAGGTTGTAAGTCTGAATGATGAGATGAAGATAGACAATAAGATAGAATAATCAGGGAGTTTAGGGTCCCAAGGGTTTGAAGCTCATCAAAATTTGGTTTGAGATACTGGTCAGTGTTACTGGCAAATGCTGAGTCTTGAGTCCCCCTTCACTTGGTCCATGTGGCAGTGTAAAGGATGCATACAACAATCTGAGAATAAATAGGTTCATGGCCTCCATTCCTCAGCAGCACACTGAGGGAGGACAGATTGCAAGGAGGTAAGGGTGTGATACTAGTAGTTCTAGAGACTGCAGGAATGGTCATTAGAGTTTCAAAACTTCCATAAGGATCAAAACATTGTATTTTACGTCAGGACCTGGGACTGTGTTCTCTTTCCTTAGGTTGAATTTATTAAAGAAATTCGACCTGAGGCTGGAGGGGTCAGTTCAGAGTTCTTCTACTGTATATTTGAAGAGATGACTAAGCCGGAATATGGAATGTTCATGTATCCTGAAAAGGATTCCTGTATGTGGTTTCCTGCCAAGGTAAGTCTTTTCTTTCTTTTCTTTTTTTTTTTTTAGAACACAAAAGGTACCCCATATACTACAACATTCAAACCATACATAGTAGTATAAAATAAGGTCATATAGAGCTTTGCTACTCCTATTTTGAGTAGTACTTGTATGGTCCACAGAGCAGCAGCTATGGCATCACTTAGGGAGCTGTTAGAAAAGCAGAATCTGAGGCCCTACTCCACACCTACTGAATTAGAGCACGCATTTTATAAGATCCTCAGGTGGTTCACATGCACATCACATTTTAATGGTTTTAATGAATTATACTTGAGATATAATAAACTGCACATATTTAAGGTGTCCAGCTTGGCTTCGTGTGGTGGCTCATGCCTATAATTCCAGCATTCTGAGAGGCTGAGGTGAGAGGATTACTTGAGTCCAGGAGCTTGAGACCAGACTAAGCAACATGGCAAAACCCCATCTCTACAAAAAATTTTTTTTTTTAATTAGCCAGGCGTGATGGTGCACACCTGTAGTTCCAACTGCTCGGGAAGGTTGAGGCAGGAGAATTGCTTGAACCCAGAAGGTCAAGGCTTCAGGGAGCCATGATCACACCACTGCACACCAGCTTGGGTGACAGAGCAAGACCTTGTATCAAAATATAATAAAATACAATAAAGTGTCCAACTTGATAAACTTTGATATACATATACATCCATAAAACTATCACCACAATCACAAACTGAATACATCTCTCATCTCCAAAAATTTCTTTTTTTTTTTCTTGAGATGGAGTTTCTCTGTGAGGCCCAAGCTGGAGTGCAATGGCACATTCTCAGCTCACTGCAACCTCTGCTTCCCAGGTTTAAGCGAGTCTCCTGACCCATCCTCTCGTGTAGCTGGGACTAAAGGCTCACACTACCACACCCAGCTATATATATATTTTTTTGTATTTTTAGTAGAGACAGGGTTTCACCATATTGGCCAGGCTGCTCTCGAGCACCCAAACTCAAGTGATCTGCTAACCTCAGCCTCCCAAAGTGCTGGGATTACAGGTGTGAGCCACCACACCTGGCCCAAAAGCTTCTTTATATCCTTTTCTAATCCCTCCTGCCTATTCCTCTCCACAACGCCCAGGTGACCACAAATCTGCTTTCTGTCACTAAAGAGTAGTTTGAAGTTTCCTAAAATTTTATGTAAATAGAATCATAACATAGTATTTTGTGTCTCTCCTTATTCATTCAGCATAGTTATGCTGATATTCATCTGTGTGGCATATATCCACAGTTTATTCTCTTCTACTATAGAGAAGTATTCCATTGTATGGATATACAAGTTGAGTATCCCTTATGTGAAATGCTTGGGACCAGCAGTGTTTCAGATCTCAGAGTTTTTCAGATTTGGAACATTTGCATAAACACAGTGAGATATTTTGGGTTAAGGACCCAAGTCCAAACACAAAATTCATTTATATTAATAGTTCATACACACTTTATACACATAGCCCAAAGGTAATTTCATACAATATTTTAAATAATTTTGTATATTAAAAAAAGTTTGTATTAAGAATTTATGAGTGGAATTTCCCATTTGTGGCATCATGTTGGCACTCAAAAAGTTTCCAATTTTAGAGTATTTCAGATATTGAATTTTCAGATTACGGATCTTAGCTTGTACTACAATTTGTTTACCTGCCCTCCTACAGATGAATATGTAGGGTTCTTCCTAAATTTTGAGAAGGAGTAATTCAAAGTGTTTCAAATTAGGACAGAAATGATTGATAGAATCCTAGAGATAATTTTTTCATTTTTAAAAGGTGATTCAGCCGGGTGTGGTGATGCATGCCTGTAATCCCAGCACTTTGGGAGGCTGAGGCGGGCGATCACTTGAGGTCAGAAGTTTGAGACCAGTCTGGCCAACATGGCAAAACCCCGTCTCTACTAAAAGTACAAAAATTAGCCCACTGTGGCACACACCTGTAGTCCCAGCTACTTGGGAGGCTGAGGCAGGGGGATCACTCGAACCTGGGAGGCGGAGGTTGCAGCAAGCCAAGATCATGCCACTGCACTCTAGCCTAGGTGACAGATGAGACTCTGTCTCAAAAAACAAAAAACAACAACAATTTTAAAAACCAGGTAATTCACAGCCAGGTGTGTTAGCTCATGCCTGTAAGCCCAGCACTTTGGAAGGCCAAGGTGGGCAGATTACTTGAGGTCAGGAATTCGAGACCAGCCTGGCCAATTTGGCAAAACCCTGTCTCTACTAAAAATATAAAAATTAGCCAGGTGTGGTCGTGTGTGCCTGTAATCTCAGCTACTTAGGAGGCTCTGGCAGGAGAATTGCTTGAACCTGTGAGGCAGAGGTTGCAGTGAGCCAAGATTGCGCCATAGCAATCCAGGCTGGGAGACAGAGCAAGACTCTGTTAAAAAAAAAAAAGAAAGGGCTTCAAAAGGAAAAAAAAGAAAAATAAAAAAGGTGATTCATTTCTGTAATTATTGTATTTTTATAAAGATCCTTAAAGTATAAACATTTTCTTTCTTAAAGTAACAAAAAAATTTGTCTTCATTTCTCTATTAGTAACACAAAAAGTAGTTCTGAAAAGAATCACATGTTGAGCTTCTACTGTGTTATGGTTTGAATGCTCCCTCCCCTTGAAATTCATGTGAAAACTTAATCCCCAGTGTGGCAGTCTTGAAAAGGGGTCTTTTAGAGGTACTTGGGTCATGAGGGTTCTGCCCTCATGAATAGATTAATCCACTCAGGGTTTAATGAGTTAATGTATTAATGGGTTATCAAGAGAGTGGGACTGGTGGCTTCATAAGAAGGGCAAGAGAGACCTGAGCTAGCATACTCATCCCTCTCACCATGTGATGCCCTGTGCAGCCTCAGGACTCTGCAGAGTTCCCATTAGCAAGGAGGCCCTCACCAGATACAACTGCTCAGTCTTGGACTTCCCAGCCTCCAGAACTCTAAGAAATACATTCTTTTTCTTTATAAATTACCCAGTTTCAGATACTCTGTTATAAGCAAGAAAAAATGGGCTAAGGCATATTTATTGGTCCCCTTTCCCATAAACTTCCAAATTGTTCTTCCAAGTGGCAGAAAGGACAGGGAGGAGGAGGAGAAAGATGAATACGTATGAAAAAATACTGAAAGGTGTTTTGTATCTTTTTGAGAACAAATGGAATGTCTAAAATATAGGAATGGCTAAGGTATGCCAATGGTAGGATTTTTTAGTCAGTCAATCTGGAAGCATTTATTGAATGTTTCTTGAGGTTCCTACATTGTATTAAATATTGTGGGATATTCAAATTATTACATGACATAATCCCTTTCCTCCTGAAACTTTATAGATGTAGTTATAGCAATCAGATCAACACATCAGAAAATTTACTAATTGGTTCTAAATTATAGTCATTACATATATGACTTAATATGTAATAGTATTTGAGAAGCATGACAGGATGGGGAAGGAAGCATTGATGTGGGATCAGAAGCCTAGAGTTCTAATCTTCAGTGATATGTCATTTAGCCTCTCTGAGATTTGTTTCCTCACCTAGAAAATGTGCATCATAATTTCTGCTTTGCCTGCTTTGCAGGGCTGTTGTGAAAACAAAACAAACTAAGTTATGTGAAAGTACCATGAAATCTTTAGGGTACTATACAAAATCAAGGGGTTCTTGGTTAGAAGAGAAAGAAACCAAGAGGAGACTGAAGTGATTGCATTTGAAAGTATAATGGAGAGGCGAAGGCCAGAGGTTGAAGGTGAAGGAAAGGGATGAAATGAACCAGAAGAGACACAAGTTATGGATGGAGAGGGGAAAAATAAACCCTACACAAACCTTATGCGGTACAGATGAAGAAGCTGAGGCTTAGAGATCTTAAATAAATCAGCCAGGGACAGAAAACTAGTAAGTGTCCAAGCCGGGATATGAGTTCAGGATTGTCTGACCCCAGAGCTCTTACTCTTAAGCATTATGCTGTACTGCTGGATAAACAACAGAGACAAAAAAAAAAAAAACCCTGATTTCAGTATGTCTCAGTGAAGAGACAAAATCAACTATAACCAAGGGACATATTACAAATTATAGGAAAGAAGACTGATTAGGTTTTGAGGAGGGCTTTGGCAATTACTTGTATTGTACTTAGAACTTATTTTCAAAATGTAAATGCATTTTAGAATTTATTCTCATAATTACTCGAATAAATAAATATGGCAACTAGACTGTAGCACAGAATATTAGGTGAGTGATCCAAAGTTATACACCCACTAACAGTAAGGTTGGCACTGGAATTGAAATCCTGAAATTTTCAGGCTGTTGATCTACCATGCTGCAGTGATGGCCTGGAGAGATGGAGCCAGTGTTTTCTCTCACCCAGGACTACAAAGTGCAGGCAAGACATGCTAACCTTACTAGGCCTCTTTCCTTCTTCCCCTTCTGTCTTCCACCTGCCTTCTTGGTCTCCAGCATCAGTCATCTTCCCTGACCCGTATGCTCACCCCTCTAAGCACACCAGGTTGTGGGGCTGCACTGCTGAAGGGGCTGCCACTCATGCGAAGCTCATCTAATGTGCCTGGTGACCAATAAACATATAAAGTGCACCCTTCCTTTCTGAGTGCCATTATTCTACATGAATTTGAAGGCAAAGACTATAAAATTAAATTGTGTAAACCTTATTATATAAGGCTGTCTGAGTGTATTTTTTAACATTCCAGATATGCTGTTAGTAACAATAATTCATTTATTTCATGTTCTGAACTGTCAGTTTATATCGGAAAATCATGGAAGAAATTTGAGTTGTGAGTTGTATTATAATCTGTGGAAGAACTTCACATTTTTATTTTCCTGAAGCCCATTTTGTTTCCAAGTTTTGAGTTTTAGAAAAGAGAACCAATTTTTTTTTTTTTTTTTTTTTACTAATCTAATGATTCCTTTGTATTACTAATTATTTATAATACCTTAGGGATTATTTTTACTTCTTTCTAGCCTAAACTTGAGAAGAAAAGATATTTCCTCTTTGGGATGCTGTGTGGACTCTCCTTATTCAATTTAAATTTGGCTAACCTTCCTTTCCCACTGGCTCTGTATAAAAAACTTCTGAACCAAAAGCCATCACTGGAAGATTTAAAAGAACTCAGTCCTCGATTGGGGAAGTAAGTAAATATAACTGTTTTCTTCAGGACTATATCTAGTAAGTCTCCATTGTTTAGGCATAAATAATGTTACACACAGAGAGACAGATATGGTCTTCAATTTCAGTACTATATGTTCTCGAGAGGAATTTGAATTTTAGCATGATTTATAATTGAGTAAACCTTCAAAACGGAGAAAGGTTGGATGTTCCTCTAATTATTAACTAGTAGAAGAAACAGAGTTCTGACCTGGTCTCTTGACTTTATCCAGGTGGAAATAGTTGCTTCAGAGAGCACAATATACATACACAATATATATATTTGTACGGCCATATAAGGGTGTGTGTGTGTGTGTGTGTGTGTGTCTGTGTAAGTCTAATAAAAAAAATGAAAATATGCTCATCCTCCTAGTAATTGAGGGAATAAATAAAAATGAAATGTCATTTTTCTACTTACAGATTGACACTTGTTAAAAAGTTTTGCGTAGCGTTGGCAGAAAATTGGGAGAAAGGACTCTCTTCATGTGTACTGTTAGTGGGATAATACATTGGCTAGATATGTGCTAGAGCAGAGTTTCTCTGCCTTGGCAATACTGACTTTCTGGTCTATTTCATTCTTCATTGTGGGAGACTGTCCTGGGCATTGAGGGATGTTTAGCAGCATTTGGGGTCATACCCACCGGATGCCAGCAGCAATCTTCCCTCCAAATGTGACAACCAAAGAAGTCTCCAGACTTTGCCGAATGGCCCCTAGGGGACAAAGTCATTCCTGTTTCAGAATCATTGTCTAGAGGAAATAGCTCCTTTTTGTTATTTCCGCCAAGATGTAGCAGTGTCTATGTGATAATAGTGGTCCAACAAATGAAACTATAAATAGAGGTAAACTCTAGGGAAAGGGAGTGAGAAGGTGGAGGATAGGAAATTTATATTACATTTTATACATTTCTATATTGTTCACAATTTTTTTCCATTGAAAATTTATTACTTGTGAAACTTTATAAGATCAATAAATATAGTTTTTAAAACCAAAATTTTCATTAGGAGTTTGCAAGAAGTTCTAAATGATGATGCTGATGACATTGGAGACGTGCTTTGCCTACGCTTTTCTGTGAGTACTAATGAAAGCCAGATTATAGTTTAGCTTTAATCTATTTCTAAAATATAATTTTTGTTATAGTATCTTAAATATGGAATCCCTTTTTTTAATTGAGTCAGAGTCTCACTCTGTCACCCAGGCTAGAGTACAATGGTGCAGTCTCGGCTTACTGCCACCTCCACCTTCTGAGTTCAAGTGATTTTCCTGTCTCAGCCTCCTGAGTAGTTGGGACTAGACATGCAACACCATACCTGGCTAATTTTTGTATTCTTCATAGAGACTGGGTTTTGCCAGGTTGGCCAGGCTGGTCTCTAACTCCTGGCCTCAAGTGATCCACCCGTCTCAGCCTCCCAAAATGCTGGGATTACAGGGATGAAGTGCTGTGCCTGGACCCCAGGATCTCTTTTTGAAAGACATTTTACTTCTGTACCACAAGGCTCCCCTTTTTTTCTTCTCATTTGATACCTTCTGTCTCTATACTCTCAAATAAAATGAAGCTATGGTGATTATTCAACTAGTGTAAATAATGTAACAACTAAATAATTTAGGCATGAAAGCAATGTACTAGCATAGGATTTTTTACTTTCACATGTATTGAAAAGGTTGAACCACATAAAAAATTATTTAGCTCCAAGTTATTTTCAATTCTATAGGGGAAAATATATTGGCAATAATGATATTATGGGTGGTTGATTATTCAGACCTACTCTGGTGTTTGGTACCTAAATACATTTTGGTTACAGATACATTGGGACCAAAATGATGTTGATTTAATTCCAAATGGGATCTCTATACCTGTGGACCAAGCCAACAAGTAAGTTTTGACAGCTAGAATATCTGTTTTGAATATACTGTACATAAAATGTTGTATCACTCTACTTTAAAATTGTATTTTACTGGGCACAATGGTTCACACCCATAATACCAGCACTTTGGGAGGCTAAGGTGGGTGGATCACTTGAGGCCAGGAGTTCAAGACCAGCCTGGCCAACATGGCCTGTCTCTACTACAAAAATTAGGCAGGTGTGGTGGAACATGCCTGTAGTCCAAGCTACTCAGGAGGCTGAGGATTGCATGAACCCAGGAGTCCAAGGTTGCAGTGGGCCAGGATTGTACAACTACATTCCAGCCTGGGCAACAGAACGAGACTCTGTCTCAAAAAAAAAAACAAAAAAAAAAACAAAAAAAAGTATTTTCACTTCTCAGATGATTATTTTAGCTCCTAATCTTTTAGAAAAATAGAAGTTTTTAAAATAAAAGGAGAAAGGATTCAGGGTTCAATATTTTTCCTTTGTGGCTCTTTTTACTATTTATTCATTTAACAAATATTTTTGAGTCCTTATTCTGTACCAGACTCTATTATAGGTGCTGGAGATACAGTAGTCAAAAAGACAGACAAACTTTAGAGCTTAAATTCCAGTGGGGCAGAAAGACAATACACAAATGAATAATTCTTATTTTTAATAGAGATGGAATCTTGCCATGCTGCCCAGGCTGGTGTTGAATTCCTAAGCTCAGGCAGTCCTCACACCTCATCCTCCCAGAGTACTAGGATTACAAGTGTGAGCCACTGCACCTGGCCACAAATGAATTATTACGTATTATATAATGTTAGATAAGGATGAGCACTCTGAAGAAAATTAAAACCAATTAAGAAACTAGGGAGTTCCAGGTGGTGGTATGCTGGAGCTCACTAGTACCAGCTTGTGAAAGCTGATTGTTAAATTTTCAAAAATGTTAAGAGTTTATTATCAAAGTATTAGTAGCTGAAAATCAGCCATGGTGGGAATATTTACACCACAGAAATTGACCAATGCTACAAATGTGTGTCCTCTCCCTCTCACTCCTTTTCAGAGAGCTGGTTGTTAGACATTTACTAGCACACCACTGGTTACAGGGAAAGGCAGACAAGAGTTGATTTAGATAGGCTAGTCCACAAAGGCTGCCCATAGTATGGGAGACAATCATGTATCTGATGGAAATGCCTCCAGTAGCAACCCTGCCATTAGGAAATTAATCATTTAGTGGAAACGGCATCCTGTAATGTAAGACAGACCTTGGAGAAACAATTTTCACAAAGTGATATATGTTGTGAGAGGGAACAAGCAGAAGATAAGAAGGATCAACCCTGATAAAGTCTTATTTATATTGAAATCTAATGGATGGTAGAAGTTACCAGGTAAAGAAGAAATGCTGCATTTTGTGGCCTAACTACAAAAGAGAGACAACAAGACCTATGAACTAAAGGTCAGTATGACCAGAGATGAAAATGGGAGTGGGAGCCAGGCACCATGGTGCATACCTGTAGTCTCACCTACTCAGAAGGCAATGGAAGGAGGATTGTTTGAGGCCAGGAGTCCAAGTCCAGCTTGGGCAACAGAGGGAGACCCTAACTCTTAAAAAAAAAATCAAAATAAAAAAAGAAAGAAAATGGAAGTGGGAAGAGGCTGCTTGCTGAAACTGGCAAAGTCAGATCACTAGGGGAGGAGGTTGGGTTGGGAAGGCCTGTTGATCCCTGCTAAGACGGTTTGCAATTTACCCCAAGACCAATGAGAAGCCTTTGAAAGACTTTAAGCAAGAGAATGCCATATTCAGATTCATGTTTTTAAAAAATCTTCCTGACTGCAGTCAGGCAAGTCAGCCAAATGTTGTAAACCTTCTGATTATATTTTCTAAATTTCTTTCTTCTAGCTGACCAGTTTTTAGTCACAACACAACATCCTTGTGCTATGTAGAAATAATTTACTTTTCCTTTTCAATAAAAATGGTAAAAGGAACAGAGTATAGAATATTTTAGTCATTGGCCTTTTTTTCTTTCTTTTTTTTTCTTTTTTGGCTTCCCTCAAGGAAAGACTACATTTCTAACTATATTGATTACATTTTCAATGTCTCTGTAAAGGCAGTTTATGAGGAATTTCAGAGAGGATTTTATAGAGTCTGTGAGAAGGAGATACTTAGACATTTCTACCCTGAAGAACTAATGACAGCAATCATTGGAAATACTGATTATGACTGGAAACAATTTGAACAGGTAGGTGATACCTAAAGTGCCCCCAATTTTTTCAAAACAACTTCTATATATTCCATCTCCCTCAAGCCATTTTTCTCTTTCTCTTAAGAATTCAAAGTATGAGCATGAATACCAAAAATCACATCCTACTATACGGTTGTTTTGGAAGGCTTTTCACAAACTTACCTTGGATGAAAAGAAAAAATTCCTAAGTAAGTACCATGGCAATAGATGAACACATAATTATATATTTTTAAAAAGGTGCAGTCTTGTTTAGGATGAAGCCACTGAAGTGGCCTCATTGTCTGGGGTGACACCCAACGCTCTTTGTCTCACAGCCATAGAGATCAAGGACGTGGACACACACAAAGGGTGAGGGAAACTTAATAGGTGAAAAAAAAAGAATAGCTCTCTGCTACAGAGAGGGGTCCCAGAAAAATGAGTTGCTGATCTGTGGTGAAATGCAGGGGTTTTATAGATGAGCTAGGGAGGAGGCAGTGTCTGATCTACATATGGCATAAAAAACCAGTTAAGACCAGGGGTACCATCTGCATAGGGCACGAATCTCTGGCAGCCCCTACCTCAATCTTTTATCATGCAGGTAGGTAGCTACTCCATGAAGCTTATTTCTTTCTTACTGTGCATGTGCTAAAAAAGAGGGGAGGTGGAACCCCCATGGTGGATGTGCCTGGCCCCAGGTAGCCTTTCTATTATTGGTGGAGCTGCTGGTATCCTCCCATGCAAGCTTTCGGCCTTTTTTTTTTTTTTTTTTTTTTTTTTTTTTTTTTGTTTTTTTTTTTTTTTTTTTTTTTTTTTGAGATGGAATCTCACTCTGTTGCCTAGGCTAGAGTGCAGTGGTACGACCTTGGCTCATTGCAACCTCCACCTCCCGGGTTCAGCGATTCTCCTGCCTCAGCCTCCCGAGTAGCTGGGATTACAAGCATGTGTTGCCATGCCTAGCTATTTTTTTGTATTTTTAGTAGACATGGGGTTTCACCACGTTGGCCAGGTTGGTCTCGAACTCCTGACCTCAAGCGATCCACCCACCTTGGCCTCCCAAAGTATTGGGATTACAGGCATGTGCCACCACACCCGGCCCCAGCTTTCTTATCCATGTTTGCAGCCCAGTATTCCAGGGTGCTCTTTGTTAGAAAAGAAGTGATTTCCTGGACTACTTTTTGTTAGAAAGGGAGTTCTTCCGAAGACTCTTTTGCCCTCACTATCTGCCTAAAATAATTTCTTCCTATCTCTGTATCACCATTCTTGCTGGTAGGTCACATGTGTTAGTGGCAGAGCAAGGATGAGAACCCAGGCTCCCTCCCTTCTAGACCAGCATTCTTTCCTTTACTCAAGCCTGTTTCTTTTTTCTTTTTTTAATAGAGATTTACTATTTTACTAGTTTTTCTACACTGACTCTTTTTCTGCACCTTCTTTCCTCACTTCAGCTGGCTTCTAAGCCTTTTATCTCATGTTCCTATCTTCATCTAATTATCTAAGTCCTAAGATGTTAAAATGATGCAAACTATTTGTTTTATAATAATATATCATTTAGAAATAATAATAATGGCAATGACAACTGATAATAACAGCAGCAGCAGCAGTATTTCCTGTGTGCTTATTCTGTGCCAGGCACTATGCTGACTACTTTGTATCTATTACCTACCTTTTTCCTAATAGCAACCCTACGAGGTGGGTATTATTCTTTTTTTCCCATTTCAGAATGAGGAAAAAGAGGCTTGGAGCATTTAGTAGCTTTCCCATGTTCAGACAGGTGGTAAGTATGAGAACCAGAATAGAATCCATCAGGCTGACTCCAAAGCCCAGGCTCTTGACCACTAAGCTCTGTGGCCTCATGGTGTAAGAAGTTCTCTTGGTGGGAACCCTAAGGTTTTTCTAGGGCAGACTTAATGACTTCTCTCACCATCTTATCCCATTCGTCAGTTCTTCCTGAATTACACATTTTTCTTCTTGCTATTTTTTTTTTTTTTTTTGCTACTAAGGATGTTGGAGGACAATTCCAACTTGTTCATGGATCCAACCTATTTCTCTATTAGCCCAAGCTGCCTTTCTAATCGTCTCTCTTAATGGGAAACTTTCGATTCATCCCAATGGTTCAGCTGTCTGTACATCCTGTGAGTTCACTTCTTCCCACCTCTGGCTTTCTCCTGGGCTTTGTCCCCTGCCTTGAAAGCTCACCCAACTCCTCTCTTGAGAACTAGCCAGGTGTGGCCTGTGTGAAGTCTCCATGACCACCCAGCTTGGTGTCTCTCTCCCTGCTGAATCCTTGAGGCTCCTAATCTCATTCATCCTAGATGAGCTAAATAAACTTCCTTCTTGCTACTGTCTGTGCATGCATACAATTTTCCCCCAACTACACCATTAACTCATTGAGGACAAAGACCAAATGTCATGATTTTTCTACATTCAACATGGCCTAGGAAAGTTCTCTCTGCCTAAAGAAATTCAACAAATATTTATTGAATGAAGTGATTAACTTCCTCCTTTTTATTATGTTTTACTCTTTCTATAAAATATCTTAACCAAATTTTATTCCTTTCTAGTTTTTCTTACAGGACGTGATAGGCTGCATGTAAGAGGCATACAGGAAATAGAAATGGTATTTCGCTGTCCTGAAACTCTCAGTGAAAGAGATCACCCAAGATCAATAACTTGTCACAATATTCTGGACCTCCCTAAGTATTCTACAATGGAAAGAATGGAGGAAGCACTTCAAGTAGCCATCAACAACAACAGAGGATTTGTGTCACCCATGCTCATGCTCACACAGTCATAATTACCTCCAAGAGTCTCAGAGTTGGCTTTTTCATACTTGGATCCTTCTGTTCTTCCTTACACCTAAATAATACAAGAGGTTAAGGAATAGTAGTTAAAAGTAGTTGAGGGAGAGGTTAGGGGAATGGGGAGAGGATGGTGACTGTCAAAGGGCACAAAATCTCACACAAGACTGAGGCAGGAGAATAGGGCCTAGAGATAGGGATCTAAGGATGACTTGGACAGATTCCCTGAAGCTGAAGAGTCTGAATGCTGCCCTGCGATTGGTTCATTCAGGACCTTCATTTGCATAAGGCATCAAACCACATCAGTCTCTGACTGGCCATGGGCCAAACCTGCACTCTGGCCAATGACTGGTTCATTCCAGGACCTTCATTTGCCTAAGGAGCCAAACCACACAAGTTTGGGGTTGGCCATGGACAAATTCACCTCAGCCTCTAATTGGCTGTGAGCCAGTCTTTCATTTACGTAGGGTGTAATCATCAAGAAACCTCTACAGGGTACTTAAGCCCCAGAAGATTTTGCTACAAGGGCTCTTGAGCCACTTGCTGGAGCCCACTCCCACCCTGTGGCATGTACTTTCACTTTTGCTCCTTCACCGCCTTGTGCTCCAATAAATCCACTCTTTCACCACTTGTTCATGCATGTCGTTCAATTCTTTGTTCAACACACCAAGAACCTTATAAACCTCACTACTGGAACCCTTAACCCAGTAACATATTTTGGTGAGCTAGCCACAAGGTAAGCCCAAATTTGGGGATTTATTTTCTTTCACTCTATCGAGATTCCATTTGTGGCCACAGGCTGGAACTAAACTTCATATGGGACTCTCTCTGTCTCTCCCCTTCTCTTTCTTTCCCTTTTCCAACTTGGGACCCTTGGCAGATAACATTCTAAGCACGGGGACAACTGCAGGTCTCTTGCCAGGGCCACTCTCTGGTGAGACTCAAAGGTTTCTGTGTGTAAGCACCTAACCATCATCACCTACTTCAGGTGCAGAACTGAATCCTTTCCTTTTTAGTCCTTCAGCAGCTATTTCCCAGTAACTCCTTGGTAATTGAGGGCTACTAGCCAGTGCCACTCTCTGGTGTTGCCTGAAAGCCAAAGAGTGCACGGGGATAGCTGCTTGGCCTGGAAGGGGGAAGGATTCTTTTCTATCTTTCCTGATTATAGTTCCCGAGCCCTACGTGTGACACAATTGGCAGTGGCAACTTGTCGAGGGCGAATTCATACACGTTTCAGGTGGCTTTAACCCTTCTTTTCTTATGCTAAAATTCCCATGTGGAGTCAGCCCACCAGGGAATACAACAAATAGGGGCACAAGATAAATCCCTGCCACCATGAGGTCCATGTTTGTGCAATTATAATATTATATTTATTTGCTGCCTATGTTCGGATAACATGTTTAGACCAATTAGAGATGTCCCCCAAACCCAAAGGGCGAGGGCAATAGGCAATTGACTACGGAGGCCCCAAGGGCTAACATTAGCCCAAAAGTTAGGACCAATCACTTGGATAGGGAAAGTCCCCTGTTTCTTTTGTAAGGGACTTGATCTGTATCATTTTAGTTTAGCAGATCTGGTGCTAAGGGAAGACTCCTGGTGGAGACTCTTGGCTCATTGCATAAATTGCGCAGCAGATCCATGGGGAAATCTCTGCGCCTGGTTTATCTGGTACAGTCAGAGCGCACTATGCTCCCTTATTGAGAGGCCAGTCTCTAACAAGTTTAAATTAGGCAGTCTGCCATCCCTTGCCCTTCAAACTATAGTTACTACAATGGTTAAGGAAACTACTTGGAAAGAAACTATTGTGGCCAGCTATAGGGATGCCAAAACCCAAGGACTGCATCTAAGAATGAAGGGAATCATACTAGTCCATTGTCTATGAAGGGAAACCATTAAAAGTGGCACTGGTGCCCACCTAAGGTCGGAGATGTCTGACACTCTAAGACTACCCCAAAGGGGGTCTCCAATCCTAGGCTACAACTCTCTGAAGAGGAAGCCCCTAGGTGGAGGTTCTGAGGTCCAGCATTAAACGCTTCTTAGGGTATTTTCTCTCTTACAGAAAAGAATAGGAAATACTCCATCCATACGACCTGACTCCCTACTCAGCTATATCCTCAATAATTAGAACAAATTTGACTCTGACAATATAAGAAGGAAACACTTTTTTTTTTTTAATGTAATACCGTTTAGCCCCAGTATCCTCTAGATAGCCAGGAGCAATGGCCAGTCAATGGGAGTCTCAGTCATGATACTATCCTGCAATTAGTCTTATTTTGCAAAAGGCAGGGTAAATGGTCAGAAATACCATGTTTAAGGCTTTATGGCTCTGCATCAAAACCCTTCAATTTGTAAGGCTTTCAAAACTTGCCGTCAAAAATAAAAATTCCTAAAGTAGAACCAGATGTTATAGATGACCCTTTTCTGCAAGGGCCCCTCATTTCTGAGGGGGAACTGCAACCACCTCCATACAACCCCTTGCCAAGTGCTCCTGAGGATCAAACCCAGGAACAGGAGGCGGGAGCTCCACTAAATTCCCCATACACTTCCAGGGGAACACCTTATTCAATTCCCCATCCAGCTCTATTTCCCCTAAGGGAAGTAGCAGGAGCTGAGAGGCTAATCTAAATGGAGGCCCCCTTCTCCAGAACTGATATACAACAACATAAGGATAAGTTAGGAATTTATTCTCAGAACCCCAGGAAATTTGCAGACGGATTCCAAACTTTAACCTTAGCCTTATATCTCTCAGAAAGAAGTTCAATTTATCCTGGCAACTTGTGGCAGTCCTCTGGAGAAAGAATACATTTTTGAGGCTGCCTAATGGAAGGAGACAAATTGTTTGCCCAAAACCCGGAGGGCAATTACCTGGGGCCAGATACAGTCCCCATCACTGACCCTAATTGGAACTATAACAACCCTGTGGGAATGAACAACTGAGCCAAATTCCTTGAAGCTCACCCGGGAGGAATGAGAAAGGGAATGACTAAGACAATAAATTAAGAAAAATTACACAGGGTAAGGAAAGTATGTTTTATAGCAGGCTGGAAAAGGCTTTTAAAAATACAACAATGTGGACCCTTCTCTCCCAAAGGCAAAGTATTAATGGTACAGCATTTCATTAGCCAAGTTGCCCTGAACATTTGGCATAAAATCCAGAAGCTACAAATGGGACCACAAACTAATCAAAATCAGCTTCTTGATACCACCTCCATGGTATATAACTATTGTGATCTAGAGGAAATAGAAAGGGAATACAGTAAAGAAAAACAGCCAAAATTTTGGCAACTGTCATTGGTGATGCCCTAAATGTCCAAAAGACATTCAAGGGAAACCCAGAGTCACGAGGGCAATGCCGGCAAAAGCTCGTTACAAGTGCAAGGAAAGTGGGCACTGGGCAAAGGACTGCACTAAGTCTCCACTGGGCCCATGCCACCAATGTGAGGGCACCAGTCACAATCCCAGGCACTGGAGAATTGACTGTCCCTGGTACCACCAAGGGGCTCCATCAGTCAAAACTCTAACAGTGCGTAAGGAGATTGACAGGGCCAGGGGACATCATCACCACCACTTAGGAACCCCAGGTAACTCTGGATGTCATGGGAACCCAAATTATCTTGCACACCAAGCAGCAGCTTTGCTTTTTTCTGGAAATGGCTAGATTCTGTAGAATATAAATCCCAAATTTCAGGCACATAGCAAAGCTCCTTTATGAGACAAGGGGACCTTAAGATGAGTCGATGGAATGAACCCTACAAACGAGGGAGGCTTTCACCAAGTTAAAATGGGCTCTCAGCTAGGATCCTGCACTAAACATTCCAAACCTCACCAAGCCCTTCCTGTATGTAGCAGAAAAGAAAGGCATAGAAGTGGGAGACTTGACTCAGAAGCTGAGCACTGAACCTAGGCCCATTGCACACTTTTCTTTGTTTTCAGACGGAGTCTTGTTCTGTCTCCCAGGCTGGAGTGCACTGGCACAATCTCAGTTCACTGCAACCTCCAGCTCCTGGATTCAAGTAATTCTCCTGCTTCAGCCTCCCAGGTTTCTGGGATTACAGGCACGTGCCACCATGCCCCAGCTAATTTTTGTATTTCAATAGAGACATAGTTTCACCATGTTGACCAGGGTGGTCTTGATTTCCTGACCTCAAGAAATCCACCCACCTTGGCTTCCCAAAGTGCTGGAATCACAGGTGTGGGCCACTGCACCCAGTTGTTGGATAGTTTTCAAAGGAATAAGACAGGGTAGCCACCAGGTGGCCCAGCAAGCTGCAAGCAGTAGCAGCCACTGTTATTTTGGTAGAAGAAGCTATTAAAATTACTCTAGGTCTGTCACTAGGTGGAGGTATTAACTCCCCACCACGTAAAGTCAGTCCTAGAAATAAAAGTACATATCTGGATGATAGGAGAAAGATTAAATATGAGGCAGCACTCCTGGATAATCCAGACACTCTTAAGACCTGTAACACCTTAAACCCAGCTCTATTAGTCTGTTCTCATGCTGCTAATAAAGACATACCCGAGACTGGGTAATTTATAAAGGAAAGAGTTTAACTGATTCACAATTCCCCATGACTGGGGAAGCCTCACAATCATGGCTGATAGAAGGCAAAGGAGAAGCAAAGTCATGTCTTACATAGCAGCAGCCAAGAGAGCACGTGCAGGGGAACTCTCCTTTATAAAACCAGATCTAGTGAGACTTATTCACTATCATAAGAACAGCATAGGAAAGACCCACTCCATGATTCAATTATCTCCCACCAGGTTGTGGCAGGCCAATTCTCTCTGATAATCACACAGACAGGCCTGCATAGCACTCCAGTTACAAAGACAGATTTCCACAGCACTGCCTTAACATTGAGCAAATAGTTAAACCTAGGGAAATCGGTGCCCAGACATGAAAGCTAGAAATGAAACATATGGCATATCTTCAGTAGGAGTCTTGCATTGGCTTTTCCCTAACCTGGAGCAAGTCAAAATAATAGAGACACTCTTACATTCCTAGTGCCAGGACCCACCTCGGGTCAATGGAATCGGAGACAGTTCAAGGTAACAGTGGCAGCTGTTTGAGTAGATTCATTAAAGAATCTAAGGCAGCTCTCTGGACCAAGCTGTAAAGGAGATAAGATAGAAATAATCTCTCTGGTACCACAGTAGACAGGCCTTGATGGTACTGGGGCCCTTTTAATCAAACTTAGCAAGCATTTTTTGCCTCTGACCTTCAGTTGAAACAAAATTACTTACAAATACACTTGGCAAACGCTACACTGCACTTAGGCACATAACCCCAACCTATACAAGCACTAAGAAAATTCTAACACTTTGAGTTGGTCTGCTGGAATTATCTCCAGCCTTCTCCCTGTATCCAGTTACATCAATAAATTCCATTATTTCCTAGTTTGTCTGCTTCTCCTTATTGGGCCTTGAGAAAATGCAGCCAGACCCAGCTTGGTTCTGGAAACAGAGTCCCTCCCACAACACATGGAAATTATGGGAGCTACAATTCAAGATGAGATGTGGATGGGGACAAACCATATCACCAGCCGAACTGCTACCTAAGGGCACAATAACCAATCATTCCTGTGAGCAGATTATTGCACACAGATATGTGAGCCAGGCTGATATTTTAGATCAGCCTCTTGCAGACCCTGAGGATAACTGGTTTACAGGTGGCAGCAGCTTTGTACTAAATGGGGAGCACCAAGCTGGATATGGAATAATGAACCACACCATTTTTGAAGTCCAACTACTGGCCCCAGGCACATCAGCGCAAAGGCTGAGATCACTGACTGCTGGCAACCTCCCTATCCTACTACCAGCACTTGTCCAAAGATTTCATGGAAATTTTGGATGACATTGCTCCAAGTATTGTCATCATACAAAATCAAATAAGTTCCCTGGCAGTGGTCACTTTGCAAAATAGAAAGGGACTAGATAGCCTAAGCACTGAGAAGGGAGGCTTATTATGTCTTTTCCTAGAGAAAGAATGCTGTTTCTATGTCAACCAATCAGGAATATTAAAGGATGGCATCTAAAAACTAGCTGACCGGGCCGCTAAGATATGACAACAGCTGTCGGAATCATGGGGCTCTTGATCAAGGTTGCTGGGCTGGGCATCATGGCTCCATCCCCTAGCCAGCCCATTACTAATGGTTATACTGGCCCTGGTCTTTGGATCATGTTTGCTAAACCTTTTAACCAAGTAAGTTCATTTTCTCTTGCCTAGAAACCATTTAGCTTCAGATGATTGCATAAGAAGGCTTCCAGGCAGTGCCGTGTAAAGACACCACGTACGGCCATCAAAAGTTTACCTTGTGTCCACAAGACAAAGCAGGGCAAGAGTTCTGTGGTCCCCAGTAGGTAGGGCCAGTGTGCTAAATCAGCAGGAAGCAGTTATAGAAGAAAAGACAATCAGTCTCTCTGCCTCCCATAAAGATTTCTAGGGATCATGTCTCTTAAAGGAAAATGAGGCAGGAGAATAGAGTTCAGAGATAGGGAATCTAAGGATCACTTGGACAGACTCCCAGGAGCTGAAGAGTCTGCATACTGACCTATGATTGGTTCTTTCTAGGACCTTCATTTGCATAAGGTGCCAAACCGCATCAGCCTCCGATTGGCCACAGGCCAAATCTGCACTCTGGCTAATGATTGGTCCATTCTAGGACTGTCATTTGCATAAGGCACCAAACCACACCAATCTTGGATTGGCCATGGGGCAATTCACCTCAGCCTCTAATTGGTCACTATCCAGACCTTCATTTACATAGTATGTAACCAATAAGAAACCTCTAGAGGGCACTTAAGCCCCAGATGACTTTGCTACCAGAGCTCTTGAATCACTTGCTTGAGCCTGCTCCCACCCTGTGGAGTGTACTTTTGCCTTTGCTCCTACGCTATCTTCCACTCTCATAAATTCACTCCTTCACCGCTTTTGTTCAAATCTTTGTTCAATGTGCCAAGAACCTGGACACCTTGCCATCAAAACACTTAACCCAGTAACAAGATGAATATATTCTTTCTTTCTTTCTTTCTTTAAGACAGAGTCTTGCTCTGTTGCCAGGCTGGAGTGCAGTGGCGCAGTCTCGGCTCACTGCAACTTCCGCCTCTGGGGTTCAAGCAATTCTCCTGCCTCAGCCTCTCAAGTAGCTGGAACTATAGGCACGCACCACCATACCCAGCTAATTTTTGTATTTTTAGTAGAAACGGGGTTTCATCATATTGGCCAGGATGGTTCGATCTCCTGACCTCGTGATCCGCCTGCCTAGGTGCGTGAGCCGGCCTGTTCTTTTTTTTTTTTTTTTTTTAGTTCATTTGCACAGTGTGGTAAATATAGTTAACAATACAGTATTATACATTTCAAAATACCTAAGAGAGTAAATTTCAAATGTTTTCACCACAAAAATTGTTAAGTATTTGAGGTGATGGGTGTGTGAACTAGCTTAATTTAATTATTCCACATTGTTATTCATAAATTATAAGATCATTTTGTTCTCCATAAATGTATACAATTATAAATTGCCAATTTACAATTTCAAAAAAAGAGAATTAATTGAAAAATCGTTGGCTAAATAATAAGAAATTAATCAAGAATAATTTTTTTCTTAAGAGACAAGTTCTTACTATGTTGCCCAGGCTGGTCTTGAAATCCTGGGCTCAAGCAATCCTCCTGCCTTGCCTCCCAAGTGCTGGGATTACAGGTGTGAGCCAAAAATAATATTTTTAATAAAGCAATATTTTGTAAAGCAACATGTCCTATATCCCTGACCTTGCTATATATATATATTTTTTATTTAGGAATATCTGTATAGTTTTTATTTTAGCAAAGTGCCGAATAATTTATTTGAAAAATCTGAATGTTAAGGGATTCATTAATTCATTGAATAATTACTTGTAGTAGGTACTGTGTGGCAAGAACCATTCTAAAGGCACAAGCATGCGAGCAGGCCATCGATCAGTGGGACAATGTGGAGTTTGTCTAGGGCAATCGGAAGAGAGCCCAGGCCGCTCAGGGGCTCAGCTCTAGGAGAAAACCAACTCCCTTCTGGCTCCCCAATCTGCTGAGAGCTACTTCCACTCAATAAAACCTTACACTCATTCTCCACGCCTATGTGTGATCCAATTCTTCTGGTACACCAAGGCATGAACCAGGGATACAGAAAGCCCTCTGTCTTTGTGACAAGGTAGAGGGTGTAACTGAGCTGGTTAACACAAGTGCCTATAGACAGCAAAACTAAAAAAGCACACAGTAGCACAGCCACTGGCACTTCAGGAGCTGTAAACATCCACTCCTAAAAGCTGACAGAGTTATTAAAAGAAAGTTCTCAGCCAAAATACAAAGGGGGGGTCCTGCCAACAGGCTCCTACATCACAGACTGAATACCAAGCCACCATACACAAGCTGAAGAGGCTCCTCCCTGCTTTATAAGGCTGAATTCCCTGTGGCTGCACCCCATTCTCCTGGTGCAGGCAGGCCCCCAGTCCCTTGCCGGCATACCAAAACAAGGCCCTCCCCAGTATTCCTCAGCTGCACAAAAGCTGTGGGACAGCTCAGAGATTCTCTGGGGACCCTCCCTTATCTGCCTCCTGCATCTATCAATACTATAAAGAATAATTAATTTTAAATATAATGAAGACCAAAAATTATAAAACTTCTAGAAGGTAACAAATGAGAAAATGTTATAATCTTAGTTTAGCAAAAATCTCCTAAGTAGGACAAAAAAAGGTATGAACTAGGTAAAATTAAAAAATGGATAAATTACATCAAAATTTAAAACTTTCATGCTTCAAAAGACACAAAATGAAGAGGCAAGCCACAGATAGGTAGAAAACATTTCAAAATGTACAGCTAATAAAGAATATGATATGAAACATACAAAGAACTCAAATATATAAATAACTCTTAGACAATAAGTAAAGCTAGCTAATAAATGGTCAAAAGATTTGATTACACACTTCACAAAGAAGAGATTCTCCTGCCTCGGCCTCACGAAGTGCTGGAGCCTCACAAGCAGGAGCCCAGGCCCAGTGTTGTCAGTCGATTTCCAATGACCCTTCAGAGAGCAAAGGGGAAGTTTTCTCCTGTTCCCTGTAACTGACAGGCCCATCAATTGGTGAATGGATAAATAAATTGTGGCATATCCACATGATAGACTATCATTCAGCAATAACACAGAGGAATGACTAATGAAACACAGTAGGATGAATCTCAAAGCATTGTGCTGTTTTAAAAGCCAGACATAAACCACCACTTAGGTATGGCTCCGTTAGTTGGACATTCTAGAAAAGGCCTAAAACACATCACTGTTGCCAAGCACCCAGGTGTATGTAGCAGGG